TAGAACCGCTTCCCCCCAGTAGCTTTTTCAATCTTCTGAAATAAAAAATTTTCTGCAATGCAGTCCAAGAATTTGTTGGATAGTCTGTGACCCGCTGTGTTATTTTCCCAACATATATTTGGATAGTTGAAGTCCCCCATCACCACCAAATCTTGGGCTTTAGATGATTTTGTTAGTTGTTTAAAAAAAGCCTCATCCACCTCTTCCACCTGGTTAGGTGGCCTGTAATAGACTCCTAGCATGGCATCACCCTTCTTTTTTACCCCTTTTAGCCTAATCCAGAGACTCTCAACACTTCTGTCTCCTATGTCTATCTCCACCTCAGTCCAAGTGTGTACATTTTTAATATATAAGGCAACACCTCCTCCCTTTTCCCCCTGTCTATCCATCCACACCAACATTCCATGTTGAGAATGAGACTGGGGCAGCATTATGCTAGGCACTATACACCACATAGTAAGAAACCATCCCCTGCCCCATATGGTTTACAATCTAAATAAACTAGACAGAACAGGATGAGAGGAGAAACAGAAGGCACAAAGAAGTGACATAAAAAGGTCACAGCAAGAGCTGGGAAAAGACCCAAGGTCTTCTGAGTCCAAAGCCACTGCCTTGTCCACTCGACCGTGCTGCATTATTACTAAACAATGATCTGAAATATAATTAAAGCACCATTAAAACAACGCTATAAAATTGCTAAAAGGCTAGCTATTTTGGGACTATTTAAAAATGGGGAGAGGGTTCTATTTAGGAGCTAATCAATGTTAATAATGAAAATGCCTCTTAAAAAAGTGTATTTACAGATGCTTTCTGGAATGTAGAATAAATTCTACATGCCATGAGCTGCCACAGCCAAAGTGCAGTCATCCAGTGATCCATGTGCAAAAGTGGAACACCTATCAATAAAGTGTCAGAGTGCTAATACCTGTCAGGATGAGGCTCAGATAGGAAGTCACATATTCAGGGCATTAAAAGCTAACAATGCAAACTTAAAAATCAATCTGCCACTTTACAGGCAGATAATGTAAAAAGGGTAGTACATTGTGATCCTCAGTGCTCCAACCTGTTTTTTGTGCTAGTGAACCCTAACAGAAGGTAAATTACAACAATTGTGCCTCATTGGCACAAGGACAGGTGTTGCTTTTGCAAAGTGATGATGAGAGCACATAAAGCAAACTGCAACTGAAAAATTTTCTTGTTGCTTCTGAGACACCCAGGACTTTCCTATTTTAATATAGCCAAATACAAGGTCATACATTTAGGAACAAAAGATGTAGGAGAAACTTACAGGATGGTGGATCCATAAAGAACATTGGGGTTATGGTAAATGATCAGTTAAAAATGCACTCTCGGTGTGATACTTATTGCTAAAAAAGTTACCATGAGCTTTGACTATATAAATAGAGGAATATCAAATGGGAGTAGGGAAGGGATAACATTGCTTCGTGGTTTGGTAAGACGGCAACTGGAATTCTGTGTTCAGTTCTGGTTGCCACACATTGAAAAAGGATGTTGAAAAATTGGAGAAGATTCAAAGAAGTGCTACAAGATTGATTTGACTCTGGGGAAAAACACACATTATGGTGAGAAACTTAAGATCACTCTGTTTAGCTCACTGAAGAGAGGTTTAAGAGGTGTCTCGATTGCAATCTAGTTCTACCTACATATGTAGAATGTATCAGACAGTGGAGGCCTCTTTAATCTAGCCGACATAAGCATAAAAAGGTCCACTGGCTGAAATTTGAGTCTAGAAAAATTAAAACTAGAAATAAGGTGCACATTTTTAACCAAGAGGGTAATTAACAATCACAGCAGATTAACCAGGTGTGTGATAAACCCTTGCTCACTTGAAGGCTTCAGCTCAAGACCAGATGTCTTTCTAAAAGGTATATTCTAGTTAAGCCATAAATTAAAAGCTTGATGCAGGAATTAATGGACAAAATTCTATGGCTTGTGTTCTTCAGGAGGACAGACTAGATGATTATAATAGTATCTTTTAGGCATAAAAAAATCTTTGCATCAATAGTGAGTGGTGGTCAAAAATAATAACCATGTTCTCAGCCTGGTGCACTAATTCTTTTCATGCCCCTATTGCTAGTGAGAACACAAACGAAGAGCGCTCTTTCTTGTACTAATGACCACTACCCAGTAGGAAGACTTCAGTGACTCTGAAAAAGACATGAGGATTGTGGTGGATAATCAGCTGAACATGATGATAATACAGCAGGGCACAGATTATCCAACAAGTTCTTGAAATGCATTGGAGACAGCTTTTATTATAGAAGGTCGAGAAAGAGACTAGAGGAGAGGGTATTCTGCATTTAATTCTGACAAACAGGGAGGAGCTAGTTAAGAATCTGAAAGTGGAAGGCAGCTTGGATGAAGTGACCATGAAATGATAGAGTTCATGATTCTAAGGAATAATAGGAGGGAAAACAGCAGAGTAAAGGCAATGAACTTGAAGAAGGCAGACTTTAGCAAACTCAGACAATTGGTAGGTAAGATCCTGTGGGAAGCAAGTCTAAGAGCATGTTTATACTTACCTCTGGAGTGATCAATCCAGCAGGGGTCGATTTATCGCGTCTAGTGAAGACGCACTAAATCGACTGCCGAGCGCTCTCCCGTTGACTCCGGTACTCCACTGGAGCGAGAGGCGCAGGCGGAGTCTACGGGGGAGCGTCAGCAGTTGACTTACCGCAGTGAAGACACCGCGGTAAGTAGTTCTAAGTAGGTCGACTTCAGCTACATTATTCACATAGCTGAAGTTGTGTAACTTAGATTGATCCCCCCCCCCTAATGTAGACCAAGCCTAAGGGAAAAAAGAGTTCAGAAGAGCTGGCAGTTTTTTAGAGAGACATTATTAAGGGCAAAAGAGCAAATTATTCCAATGTGTAGGAAAGATAAAAAGTATGATAAGAGGCCACCCTGGATTTGCCAAGAGATCTTCAATGACCCCAGACCCCAAAAAAGAGTCATAGGTTAAATTACAAAGGATGAATATATTTAAAAAATCAACACAAGCATGTAAGGACAAAATTAGAAAGGTTAAGGCACAAAATGAGATTAAATAACCTAGGGATAAAAAATGGTAACAGAGCATTTTACAAATATGTGGGAAGCAAGAGGCAGACCAAGGATCAGGTAGGCCCATTACCAAATAATATAGCAATGGCCGAAGTATTAAATGCCTTTTTTGTTTCAAGTTTTCACCAAAAAGTTTGCAGGGATCTGACGACTAACATAGAGAACAGTATAAATGGGGTAGAATCTGAGGCTAAAATAAGAAAAGAATAAGTTAAGAATGACTCAGACAAGTTAGATGTCTTCACATCGGTAGGGCCTGATGAAATATGTCCTAGAATACTTAAGGAACTAACTGAAGACATCTCTGAGCCATTAGTGATTATCTTTGCGAACGTATGGAGGATGGGAGACATACCAGAGGGCTGGAAAAGAGACAAACATAGTACCTTTCTACAAAAAAGGGAATAAGGACAACCCAGGGAATTGTAGACCAGTCAGCATAACTTTGGTACCGGAAAGATAATGGAGAAAATAATCAAACAATTAATTTATAAGCACTTAGAAGATAATAAGGTAATAAGTAGCAGTCAACATGGATTTGTCAAGAACAAATCAACCTAATATCCTTCTTTGACAGGGTGACAAGCCTTGTCAATAGGGGGAAGCAGTGAATGTGATATAGTTTGACTTTAATAATGCTTTTACTACTGTCTCACATGACCTTCTCGTAAACATACAAGAAAAATGCAGCCTAGATGGAGCTACAATAAGGTGAGTACACAACTGGCTGGAAAACTGTTCAGAGAGTAGTTATCATTGGCTCACAATTAAGCTAGAAGGCACATCAAGTGGGGTCCCGCAGGGATCGGTCCTGAGTCCAGTTCTATTGAATATCTTCATAAATGATTTGGATAATGGCATATAGAGTACACTTATAAAGCTTGTGAATGATACCAATCTGGGAAGGTTTGCAAGCTCTTTGGAGGACAGGATTAAAATTCAAAATGATCTTGACAAACTGAAGAAATAGTCTGAATTAAATAGGATGAAATTCAATAAGGACAAATACAAAATACTATACTTGGTCGGGAATAATCAACTGCACAATAGGTATTGATTGCCTATGATGGAGTACAGCAGAAAAGGATATGGGGTCAACAACATAAGACTCTTGCAAAAAAAAAAAACAAAAAAAAGAAGTGAGACACAAGAAGTAATTATTTCACTCTACTAAGCACTGATAAGGCCTCATCCGGAATATTGTGTCTAATTCTGGACACCACACTTCAGGAAAACGTGGGCAAATTACAGAAAGTCCAGAAGAGAGCAACAAAAATGATTAAAGGTCTAGAAAACATGACCTACAAGGAAAGATTGAAAAAATTGAGCTTGTGACATGCTGGAGAAGAGAGGACTGAGAGGAGACATTACAGTCTTCGAGTACATGAAAGGTTGTTATAAAGAGGAGGGTGAAAATTGTTCTCCTTCGCCACTGAGAACAGAACAAGTAATGGGTTTAAATTGCAGCAAGGGAGATTTAGTTTAGACATTAGGAAAAACGTCCTACCTGTCCGGGTAGTTAAGCAATGGAACAAATTACCAAGTGACGTTGTGGAATCTCCATCATTGGAGGTTTTTAAGAGCAGGTTGGACAAACACCTGTCAGGGATGGTCTAGATAATACTTAGTCCTGCCTCAGTGCAGGGGATTGAACTAGATTACCAGTCCTACATTTCTATGGTTCTATGAGCTCCAAAGTCATGCTGTGGCCAAAAGAGCTAATGCAATCCTGGGATGCATAAATAGGGGAACCTCAAATAGGAGTAGGAAGGTGATTTCACCTCTGTATTTGATACTGGTGGGACCTCTGCTAGAATGTTGTGTCCAATCTGGTGCCCACCATTCAGGAAGGATGTTGGAAATACTTGACAAGGGCTCAGAGAAGAGCCCTAAGTATGCTTAAAAGATTGGAAAACATGCCTTAAAGTGAAAGACTCAAGGATCTCAATATATTGAGTTTATCAAAGAGAAGATTAAGGGGTGATTTGATTACAGTCCATAAGTACCTACATGGGGAACAAATATTTAATAATGGACTCTTCAGTCTAGCAGAGAAAGGTGTAATACAATCCAATGGCTTGAAGTTTGACAAATTCAGAATGGAAATAAGGTATATATTTTTAACAGTGAGAGTAATAAACCATTAATTGACATAATTTACCAAGGTCATGGTGGAGTCTGCCTTACTGACAATTTTAAAATCCAGATTGGATGTTTTCTCTAAAAGATCTGCTCTAGGAATTATTTGGGGGCAGTTCTCTGGCCTATGTTATACTAGGGTCAAATGAGATGATCATAGTGGTGCCTTCTGGCCTTAGAATCTATGAATGGCTGAAAGTTGAAGCCTGACAAATTCAGACTGAAATAAGGCACACATTTTTAACAGTGAGGGTAATTAATTGGAACAATTTATCAGCTGTGGCGGTGTCTCCCTCACTGGCAATTTTAAAAGCATGATATGCTCTAAGTCATACACAAATTATTTCAGAGACGTTCTATGGCAGAGGTGGGCAAACTACGGCTCACGGGCCACAACTGGGCAGGGGGCAGTCAGGGGACAGGGAGTGGGTGTGTGTGGATGGGGCACGGGTCCCAGAGGGGCCGTCGGGGAACAGGGGGGTTGGATGGGGCAGGAGGTCCGGGGGGGGGGGCGGGCCACGATTCCCCCTCCCCTAACCGGCCCTCCATACAATTTACAAAACCCGATGCGGCCCTCAGGCCAAGAAGTGTGCCTGCCCCTGTTCTATGGCCTGTGTTATACAGGGGGCCAGATTAGATTATCTCACAATGGCCCTGCTAGCCTCAAAATCGTTGGCTGAGAGTATGCATTTATTAATATCTTTTAGACAGACATAAAATCATTTAAAATCTTCAAATGATGGCGAATCCACAATGTCCCTAGATAGGTCGTTCCAATGGTTAATTACCCTCACTGTTATGGAATTACAACTTATTTCTAGTCTGAATGTGTCTAGTTTCAGCTTCCAACTATTGGATTTAGTTTGCCTTTTTCTGTTAGATTTAAAGAACTGTCTACTATCAGAAACCTCTTCCATGTGTAGGTACTTGTAGACTAAAATCAAGTCACCGCTTAACCTTCTCTGTCAATTAGGTAAATAGATTGAGCATCTTAAATCTCTTGCTATAACACGGATTTTCAAGACTTTGAATCACTTTTGTGGCTCTTTGCTGCTGAAAAATTAGAATGGGTACAGAAGAGAGAGAGAATATAGACTAGCTGATTCATCGCTGACAGAGTGGGCTGCTCTTTAACATTTCATTAATACTTTTTGCATTAGATATTAAAATAATCAGCCTTCCTCCCAACAATGCTGAAAATCTTTGTTTAATTTCTTCTCCTCTGTAATTTTAGTCTGTATGAGAATCCTCTCACCCCTGGTAACATGAATGTCCATAAAATAAAAACAAAAGGGATCCTTCAATTGCAAATTTCATTCTACAAAGAGTGGAAAGGTAGAGATGTGCTTTGTCTGGCAAGTGATTGAGGAGACACTGAAAACAATATATAACCCACGTTGTTGAACATAACTAGTCACACAGTATAAGAAGGTGAGAGTGGTTCCCTCCAGGACACAAAGAATTCCATGCATGAGTCTGAATCAATATGTCACAGGTAAACCTTAATCATATACTTACTTCATTATGAAATGCAGAAGTATCTTTGCCAATATGGCTGAGACAGTTAGGATGAGGAGAGCTGTGAGGCCATATACTATCCACTCTATGGAAAAGAAAAAGGCATATCTTCTAGCACGTTAATTTGCTTATAGTTTTAAAATAATGTATGTGCTTTCCGTTTTAACACACTTACTCTTGGACACTCAATTGAAAGCTTCCATTTCAAGCAATGTTTAAATTAGAGCAATTCAAGCTGAAAGAGATCTTTTACATTCCAACCAGCCCATTCCCACTTGGCTAGTGCAAGACAGTTCGTTATAAAATTTCAAACTTCAGAAATTTTAGAGTAAATATCAGGAACTATTTCCTTACAGGTTTCAGAGTAGCAGCCGTGTTAGTCTGTATCTGCAAAAAGAAGAACAGGAGTACTTGTGGCACCTTAGAGACTAACAAATTCATTAGAGCATAAGCTTTCGTGGACTACAGCCCACTTCTTCGGATGCATATAGCATATAGCATATAGCATA